CTTTGTCAACATGGTGCCACCCAGATATTTTGGACTACAACTCTTGTTTTATTCTACTTTTTTTCTGAGAACGGTTAAGCTGAGAATCTGTAACTTGAATTTTTGTCAGCTAATTAAAGCCCAAACCTTTGCAGATGGGTTTAGTCTGGTTCCAGGTGCCATCTTTCGTACAGCGTATGGTGGATGCACCAACAGGTTCCATTAGGTACCCTGGGTTGCATTGATAGGTGACCGTCTTATTAAAGGTGAAATCCCTTCCAAAATGGATGCCATTTGACAATTCACCTGGATCTCCACAACTGATCACTAGGGTTAGAACATAAAGAGGAAACATGTTTTATTTTAAAATAAAAAACAAAAAAAAACTATATCTTGCATAAGTGCACATGCAGAAACAGATATAACAACAGACATCACCTAGGGATCTGTATGCAAGTTTACGTTTATATTCAGGAAGCCCTTGGTGAACCTCAATGTGACTCCTAAACCAATAAAGTTTTAAAAATGCATTTTTCTGTGTATGTCTACGGCGAAGTGGAGGCATGTGTTCCTGAAGCACAAATATAATCAGGGGCTTCTAACAGTGCATAGAAGCGTAGAAGAAATGTTACTGGATTAGGAGATGTTCTGATCCTCAAAAACGAGTTGTGCTCACAAACTGAAGCAGCCCCCTGTTGCCCAAATCTATGTAAATATTGCACAAACACACCTGTACAAACTCTAAGTCACATTTCCTGCATTATTATACATTTTGGGAGTTCTACTGCATGTATTTTTCTGATTTACTCTGTAGGTAACACGTCCCCCATTACACAGGCATACACTGTAAATCCCAAATCTGGATTGTTTCCAGTACAGACTGAAATAACAGAAAGGATAATTTTATAAAACTGCTGTTACTCAGATTATAAAACTGCTGTTCCTCAGAAGCCATGTTGCTTAATGATAAAAGAGTAACAGTGCCAACAAAGAAAAAATTTGATTGGTATGTAATTTAAGCATTCATAGATGTATACTGTATTGAGTCAAAAAGGTAATTCACTCAATTTACTTTCATGTATGTTGTTGCAAAAACGTTACAGGTAGGACCAAGAAATTTCTCTGCAGGGCAGCCATATAGGTGTGCTTGCAGAAAAATAAGCCTTACAGCACAATCATATTATGCATGTTTACCTGGGAGTATGTCCCAGAATGTCAGCGTAGTTTACTCACTGCAAATATAAGGGTGAGGTAACCTATGGTTGCGAAGTTAAACAAACTTGCTTGGAAGTAAGCTTCAATCTCAATGGGATTTTCTTTCGAACAAACATACTTAGGACCAGGCTCCATATGTGGAGATGAATAAGAGTATAATTTACTGTGCCCTCCTTTTTTGAAGAAAACACTTTTCTTCCTTCTACAAGGATAGCACATCTATTTTCAGTCTTTAAGCATATTGTTAACAGGGCGTCAGTTCCCAACCTGTGCAGTCTGGGGCAGAGCCAGTCCATGTCCCGTTGGCCGTACAGTGTCGTGTAGTTAGTCCTGAAGTCTTGTAACCTTCCCAGCAGGCATAAATGACTGAGCTAGAAAATGAAATTCCGTCATTGAAGACTATCTTGCCATTGGCTGGTGTCCAGGATTGCCACAAGATACAGCTGTCAAAAGTGGGGAAGACAGGAAAAGCAAAATAAATGTAAATTTGATTTCTCCTTTAAACTGACGCAGGATAAACCCTGGGAAACCAAAGCTTTTCAGTTGTTTAGTTTGTGGTGAAGTTATCAAAATATGCATGCCCTATATTGGGCTTATCTTACCGTTCTACTTCATTATTGGCAGAAGGTAACAATATATCCCTTTTGCATGCATTAGTAAAAATGGGGCACGAAGAGAGAGGGGGAGAAATAATTGAAGGTGGGAGGTAGTCAAAGCACTGGGATGTTTGTTCATAGACATCTCCTCTTTTTAAAGATGTAGTCTTAAATATGCATTGAGAGAACTTGCACCAATTTGCCCCCAGAAATGGATGGGGTGATTCTACAAGGTGAAACCAGTGGTTAGTGTTCACATGCTAGGTTTTTGCACAACTGAATTCTCCATTAAAGGGGGAATTCACTTTCCTTGCAGTATTCCTTGAGATTATCTGTTTCAGTTAGACAGCAGCTTGCCTTTCACACAGTCTCACTCCTAATATAATTTGCTCATGAAGGTTACAGCTCCAGCCTATTGTATTGAAAACAGGCTCAAGTACGGTTCCCTGCAAATGGTTTTGCTGTGAGGGAAGGAAAGTGAAGATTCGTTCTGTTTCTTGCGATTACAGTTGCCTAAACCTGAGTCATGTCAGGTAAGACTGAGCCAAAAAGGGGCCCCAGCTAAGGTCCTTGAGTGGGATTTTTGATAAATCAGCTTTTCTGTTAAGAGCTTGAGGGTTCAGAAGATTAAATTAACTCAGTCTCCAGGTGGATATTAGACTGGAGGAACTACATTGGTAGCAACAGCAATAAAGATATCTGTGTTAGGGAAGAAACCCCTCTTTTGGTGCAAATTGCACATGTATGTGCATGCAGTCACAAATACAATTTGAGCCAATAGGTCACTATCAGTTTAGTCCCAGTTCAGGTATTTAACTATACTGGCATTTTTCACATCATTCTCCAATCAGATTTTTTAAATAATAATAAAAAAATACTTCCTAATATGAATGTAAAACGAAAGAGGGGAAAACCCAACCCACATTAGCTACAGTGTACAACCAGAGACTTTTCTATGTTCTCTTTCGAATTAGTTCATAGGATGCTCAAAATGCACTTTGTAGTAACTCATACAAAAACGCCCACAGAAACACTGGTATTTAAATGCACAACATCAATTCTATATATGAAAGAACGGTGAAACGTTCTGCTGGTGAAAAACAAGCTGTAAGCTGTGGGAAGATGGATTACTGGCTAGAAAGGAGAACAGGTGCTTATAATAAATTAAAATAGGAGAGGTTCATAATCACTTGTGTATGTGACCTGTGTGTGTACTGAGGTGGTTTTTTTTTTTTTTTTTTTTGGCAGGGAGAAGAAAGGTGAATGAAGGACAAAATGTGAATCCAGATCAAAACTTGCCTGTAGCTCTTATTCTTAACTTATGATACATGCAGGCCTTCTTGGATTCTGTTTCACTTTCCTGAGGCAAATGCCTTCCCCACATTGCCTGTGAGCTTAGGCAAGACAATAAACTTTTCATTAAACCACGGGTGAGTAATTGGCAGCCTGTAGCCACATCCAGCTTGGAACAATGTCTTTAAGATATTGTGAGACTATTGGTTGTGTTTTCTTTTTCCTAGCCCTAATGGATGGTACTTAAGAGAATGTGGTAGACTTCTTTCCATCAGAAAGTTTACATCAGATTCACATTACAGCAAAGTTCTGGCGGCTAACAGATTGAGGTTGAATCCTGACAAGACAGAAGTACTGTTTTTGGGGGACAGGGAGCGGGTTGGTGTGGGGGATTCCCTGGTCTTGAATGGGTAACTGTGCCCCTAAAGGACCAGGTGCGCAGCCTGGAGTCATTTTGGACTCACACTGTCCATGGAGGCGCAGGTTAACTCTGTGTCCAGGGCAGCTGTCTACCAGCTCCACCTGGTACGCAGGCTAAGACCCTATCTGCCCGCGAACTGTCTCGCCAGAGTGGTGCATGCTCTAGTTATCTCACGCTTGGACTACTGCAACGCGCTCTACGTGGGGCTACCTTTGAAGGTGACCCGGAAACTGCAATTAATCTAGAATGCGGCAGCTAGACTGGTGACTGGGAGTGGCCGCCGGGACCATATAACACCGGTTCTGAGAGACCTGCATTGGCTCCCAGTACGTTTCCGAGCACGATTCAAAGTGTTGGTGCTGACCTTTAAAGCCCTAAACGGCCTCGGTCCTGTATACCTGAAGGAGCGTCTCCACCCCCCATCATTCAGCCCGGACACTGAGATCCAGCGCCGAGGGCCTTCTGGCGGTTCCCTCACTGCGAGAAGTGAGGCTACAGGGAACCAGACAGAGGGCCTTCTCGGTAGTGGCGCCCGCCCTGTGGAACGCCCTCCCATCAGATGTCAAAGAGATAAATAATTACCTGATATTCAGAAGACATCTTAAGGCAGCCCTGTTCAGGGAAGTTTTTAATATGTAACGCTGTACTGTTTTTAACACTGATTGGGAGCCGCCCAGAGTGGCTGGGGAAACTCAGCCAGATGGGCGGGGTATAAATAATAAATTATTATTATTATTATTATTATTATTATTTATTATTATTATTATATGATCAACTTAGAGATAAACAGTTTCAAATCCACAACAGTAGTGATGATTTAGCAGACCACCATACTTCCATTATTTTGTTTTACTTCCATACTTTTTAAAGACTGTTGCACATTTTGCTACAATATTGTTTATATAGTATTGCATTAAAGGTAAAAAAAAATGGTAAAGCACCCCTGAATGGTTAAGACCAGGCAAGGCGACTATGGGGTATGGCACTCATCTCGCTTTCAGGCTGAGGGAGCCAGCTTTTGTCTGCAGACAGCTTTCCGGACCATGTGACCAGCATGACTAAACTGCTTCTGGTGCAATGAGACACTGTGACGAAACCAGAGCGCACGGAAATGCCGTTTACCTTCCCGCCACAGCGGTACCTATTTATCTACTTGCACTTTGATGTGCTTTCGAACTGCTAGGTTGGCAGGAGCAGGGACAGAGAAACAGGAGCTCACCCCATCACGGGGATTCGAACCGCCGACCTTCTGATCAGCAAGCCCCAAAGGCTCAGTCGTTTAGACCACAGCGCCACCCGCACATTGTATTAACAGGTGTGGGACTAATAAAAGAGAGTGGTAAACCTGATCAGTTCTATTAAGAACCAAGATTGAAATAAAGCAAGTAGTTAAATGTACTTTCAAGCACAAACAATAGCTCCAAGAACACCAAGTATCATATTTATGCAAATGTAGCTATACAGTTGCAATTACATGAGTTGAATCTGATACTGACCTTCACATACTGGCTGCAAGCCAGACCAAGATCCATTAAGGAGGCATGTTCTTTCTGGGGAACCTCTCAGCTGATAACCCATTTCGCAGGAAAAACGTAGCAGGCTTTTTATCTTGAACTCATCCCCAAGTCTGGACCCATGGGATGGCACTCCAGGATCATCACAATATCCCGGGTTGTTTCCTGTAAATGCAAAGTATCAAAAGGGTCATTATCAGGAGGCGACAGCACAGTTTAGTGTCAATCGGCTAACGACCAGCCAGGCATCAGCTCCACTTCAAATTCTGTGTGTCTTTGAGGTGTGCCCCAAAGGCACGTTACAAAACACAAGACGTCAAACAAATATTCTTGCCCAAGAGCCACAATAGACCGGGTCAGCCTACCAAATACAGGTTTGATCAACAGAGACTTAACAATAATTTAAGTTAATATAGGTCTATGTCACAGTGAATATAATCAGAGAAGAGCTGAAAATTCCATGTCAGAACTCTTTCTGCAAAAGATGCTGGGTTAGAAAGAAGGTGTGCCTGCCCAGAACCTTTTTCCTGTGTAGGAAAAGTGCATGTAGAATGTGTTTTTGCTTTTGTTTAAAAGCCAGACTAATTATATGCACAAATAGATATATTATACCTATAATACCTAGACAAGAGTCAAGTCCCATTTGGTACTATATTTCTACAGTATCATTTTATAAATATTTGTATGCAGTTATATGCACTGTTGTGTTGATTACATTAGGAAACCTGGAGTGTATATACCAGTAAATATAATAATGCATATATGAGAATTGCTTAAAAAAACAAAACCTAGCAGAGCCGGTAAACATACAATCCACTCATTGCTGAGATCATCTTCTCTCCTCATTCTAATGGCTTCATGAAGACCCCAAATGAACTGAAGAAAAATCATATCCAACAGCAGCATGAAGGATACAAACATTAGTGATATGTCTGTACAGTGGTACCTTGCGTTACGTACTTAATGCGTTTCGGAGGTCTGCTCATAACAGGAAACCGCTCGTAACATGAGGCATGGTTTCTCTAACGGTGCCTCCCGCACTGTGACTTCCGCTCGCACCCCGGGGTAAAGGTTGTAACGAGGGGCAGAGCACGTAACCCGCAGCATTCGTAAGGGGGATGGTACGTCACACGAGGTACCACTGTATACAAAAAGTGTACTTCACTTGATCTTCCAAAATCAGGGAGTATCTTTAGTATCTAAAGGCACTCCTAGTTATTGGCTACTGAGCCATATAAAGGTAAAGGTACCCCTGGCCGTTAGGTCCAGTCGCAGACGACTCTGTGGTTGTGCGCTCATCTCGCTCTATAGGCTGAGGGAGCCGGCATTTGTCCGCAGACAGCTTCCAGGTCATGTGGCTAGCATGACTAAGCCACTTCTGGTGAACCAGAGCAGCGCATGGAAACACCATTTACCTTACCGTCGGAGCGGTACCTATTTATCTACTTGCACTTGACGTGCTTTCAAACTGCTAGGTGGGAAGGAGCTGGGACTGAACAACGGGAGCTCACCCCATTGCGGGGATTCGAACTGCTGACCTTCCGATCGGCAAGCCTTAGGCTCTGTGGTTTAGACCACAGAGCCACCCGCGTCCCTACTGAGCCATATAACACACTCTAAATGGATGCTGGGTTAAGGAAGAAACTTTGGAGACAACATGTATCCCTACAGACCATAGATGGACTCAGCAAGAGATCATCCTTCAGATACAAAAAGGTGTTAAAAGAAATCACTGTTATAACGGGAGTGAATGGCTAACCAAAGAGCAACTGAGAGCATAAAATCTGACTTATTAAACTTCACTTGCATTAAAATCTGCTGCAAGGGAATAGTTTTAATAATTTCAGCTACAAGGTCACATTAAGTCAATGCTTTCAAAGGTACCTGAGCAGTGAGGGAGAGTTCCACTCCAGCGGCTGTTTTCTTGGCATGCTCTAGTAGAGTTTCCTATGAGAGTTCGACTTCCTGTACAAGAGTAGCGAACTATAGATCCATACGTAAATTTGTCCCCTGACAGAATTGCATTGGTTGGGACTCCAGGGTGCCCACAAGAAATTGCTACAGTGCGGAAAAAATAGGATTAGCATTTATAGCTGTTCATCTTCTGAAAGACAGCAATTGAGCCTTGTAAAGGTTTATAAATATAACATTACAATTCTGCACAATAAACATGCAATTGTATGAATGAATCATTGCTGTTCGTTTCTCTTGGTGTCCTTTTCATCTGTTCTTCACAAACCTCGGAGTGCAGGAAACAAATTAATAGAGAAGCAGATTCGAACTGTGATGAAACAGATCTGCTACAAGTAGGCCCAGGCATGATATAGTTCTACAATTCTTCCTACCTGGGCCAAAATGACGTTCACAAAACCATTTTAAAATCTTAACTAAGCAAACTAAATCGAGGCCCATAGAAATCTGGGTCTTCAAAAGCAAGTAAACAAAAAGACTTAGTTTAAATTTGAGCTTGGGTAAGTTCTCAACCAGAGCTCTGGGTTTGAGAAGGAAAATTGTATGGGAAAAAAACATCAGCTGTGTTGACCTTCTGTTCCTGGTAATGGCTGGTATACTATTGCACACAACAGTAGATACCTTGTTAAGGAAATTCTCCCGAGTGCAGAACAAAATTCAGCATACCGACATTGTTAAATCAATTATTTACATGCACTTCGGTGATAACTGATGCTTCCTGGCCTTCTGATGAAAAAAATAAAGTAAAAATTCAGTTTGTTGCAAACTTACGCAAACATTTGGGCAATGATCTGTCCCAAAAACCATTAGCTTTACAAGTCAGAGCAGACGATCCAAGAAGATAAAATCCTTTCTTGCAGTGGTACACCACAATGATTCCATACTTGAAAGACTCTGGGAAATTCTGCTGCCCATGGCGAACGGCATTTTCCACAAAGCCTGGATCTGAACAGTTCACCACTGAAATACAAGGTTTTTCACTACTGAATGGAAAAATTCATAGAAAATATTCATGGCATGCAATGTACAATTCAGTGCTACTTTAAGCTCAATAGTACAGCCATTAATTAATGCCAAATACATTGGATTCGACATTTTGCTGGTAGATGGATTTCCACAGCCAATCACTAAAGCTTTACATAATTGAAAATATGCAAATAAATATACAATTTCTGTTAACTTGATAACTGCGGCATTTTTATTTGGCACAAAGAGTGTCGTGTGCATTAAAACAGTACATAAGTGGTATGATCCCTTACACTTTAGCACAGAGAAAGCTGTGGTCAAAGTAAAGGTTTAAGACCCATAAATAATAGTAGTGGTGAGTGACACACTAAAAGAGGAGAAAGGCTAAAACATCGATGGTGTATTAGTTTAGATCAGGCATCCCCAACCTTCGGCCCTCCAGATGTTTTGGACTACAATTCCCATCATCCCTGACCACTAGTCTTGTTTGCTAGGGATGATGGGAGTTGTAGGCAAAAACATCTGGAAGGCCGCAGGTTGGGGATGCCTGGTTTAGATAAACAATGGTGAGGTTGGATGAAATTGCAAATGATGTGGAGGGAGAGATGAGGGAAGCAGTAAGAAGCAGAGATAGGATAGTTGGGAGCACATGGACAAACTCATAGCAAACAGGGCAGGAAGAGGAAATAAAGCCGCACACTGAGAATCAGGAAGGTATTGACGTATCAGCGAAACAAGAATTAGGCACACTCAAGCCCCACTGATTTCAGTGAAATGCAAGTGTACACAGCAGTGCTTCGGATTTAGTACACCTGTGTGTGGAGTGGGCTACCTCACCTGGAAAGGAGGGCAAAAATGTACATAAAATGTGCATACATTTTGTGTGACATGCAAAAGTGTACTCTATTTTGTGAGTGGGGAGGAAGGCCCCCAAATAAACCAGGGACTGTACACAATAATATATCTAATAGACAGAGTGTCAAAAGGTGAATTTCCTCCCCATGGATATATTTTCATGCTAGAAAAGGATGCTTAAAGGCACAAGAGCCTTGCTTTCTTCCAATGCCCAACTCAAATCACCGAGAAAACCTCAAGCTGTAGGAGTTGTGAACCTGTTAATTCAAGGACTAGAAGCTTACAGCAGCAACTAAAAAAGTATCTGTTTCAGTTCTCTGTAATCAGTTAGAGCAAGCATTCAGATGTTTGGTCCAAAAACACCCCCAGTAAAATCTGATGACCAGAGACTTGTATAAGGCTACCTAGACACTACCTGTTTACTTTGCCACTGAGCTGAAATTCTGCAGAACATAAAAGGTGGAATCCTCAGCAACTGTCAGCTAACATGTAAAGAGGAAGGTGAAATCCTTTTGTTTATTCGGTTACTCGTCTTTAGAAAAGAGGATTAAAATCCTGGAAACACTGTCTATAGAGATCATGGCACCGACAAACAAAGCAGAAAGGTGGTTTATGGCTTGATATTTGTCTCCATTTCCCCCTCTCTCTAGAGAAGGTCCGAGTCTTTTAACACTTGACCTCTTTAGTCGACACTGCTCTAGAGCTGTTGTCACAAACTGCTTATGGCTTGGCATACACACACACATAACTTCGCCAGTGAACTACCAGCTTCACCTTTTTGTGACTACGACTTGGTTTTTGGCTCATATTCATCTGGTAATTTTACCCCTATACCAGGGGGAACTCTCATAACATGACTGTGACTGTCAGGCTGCAATATGTAAACTTTTTTCAACTGACTTGTTGAACTTAAGTTGTTAAATGAGAAAGCACGCCTTGGTTTAAGAACTGTACGGGCCAGTCTTGACAGACTCTGGGGTTGTGCGCCCATCTCACTCAAGAGGCCGGGGCCAGCGCTGTCCGCAGACACTTCCGGGTCACGTGGCCAGCGTGACAAGCTGCATCTGGCGAGCCAGAGCCGCACACGGAAACGCCGTTTACCTTCCCGCTAGAAAGCGATCCCTATTTATCTACTTGCACCCGGGGGTGCTTTCGAACTGATAGGTTGGCAGGCGCTGGGACCGAACGACAGGAGCGCACCCCGCCACGGGGATTCGAACCGCCGACATTTCGATCAGCAAATCCTAGGCACTGAGGCTTTAACCCACAGCGCCACCCGCGTCCTCAAATAGGTTAGACTTCTCCAAATTAAAAAATTCTTACAAATTTCCAAAATGGATGGAAAGGGTGGTAGGAAGGGTTCCAACTGCATCATACTATCAAGGAAGAGCAGTTGTACATTTTTAAAAATAAAAAATCTTACCTCGGCATGTAGGTAAGGAGCTGCTCCACTGCCCATTGCTCCGGCACTGTGCTTGGGAGGCGCCCTGAAGCAAATATCCAGTATTGCAGGTGAAGTTCACAACATCATTCAGATTGAACTCACTGCCATTGGTCATTCCGTGAGCGGGGTTTCCAGGGTGGCCACACGTGATTGCTTTTGAAAGGAAACACAGAACAGATTGCAAGCTTTTGGGGAGGGCACGCCGAGAACATCAACGAGTTACGCACTCTGGTGCCTCGATCCAGAAAATGTGTTGCGTGCGGAGGGGTTAAATGCACACACAGAACAACCCCATTTGCAATGGCTTCCCCATCAAGGAGGAATCAAGAAAGTATTAATAGAATGGCTGCATCCAACTAAAGCGGAAGCTGAGACACACAGGGACTCCATATGCGTGCACAAAGGGATCTAGATTACAATATAGCCTGCACTGATGGGCAAAATATTTAAGAAGACATAGCATTTTTAAAAACAAACAAATGAACAACTGATAGTAATGAGCTCCTTTTGGATCAGACTGTATTGCCAAGGCTGAAATGTGAAAAATGGAAGACAGCAGATCATGCCATTTTTTTGTTTTTGTTTTTACTGCCATAAATGGTGGTTGAACAAAAGTGATCAGAAATCCAATTTATTGATAGCTGATGTGTGATGGTTCCCTGCCCCACCCCGCGCCCCGCCCCCAGGCAGAAAGCCAACTTGTAGGACTCATTTGGGTGAAACTGATGAGACTCTCTGTGGGCGCTGGACATATAACAACCTTAATTTTTATAATGGGAAAACAAAAAATGATAAACCATAGTGGTGGTTCTCCCTATCTGTGAGGGGTCACAAGGAGACAGCTATTACGGTAAGTCATCATCTAGCAAATACAGTTCACAAGAGATAAACACAGCCACAAGACTAAAGTTCAACATTGTCTTTCACTTCACCACAATCACCACTATCTATGTGATATAAATATGGTGCCAACACCATACAGTGGTGCCTCGCAAGATGAAATTAATTCGTTCTGCAAGTCTCTTCGTCTTGCGAGTTTTTCGTCTTGCGATGCACGGTTTCCCATAGGAATGCATTGAAAATCAATTAATGCGTTCCTAGGGAAACCGACTTCAGACCAGGTCCGGGGACAGTCTGTCCCCCGACCTCTTCTGAAGGCTGGGGGGGGGGACAAGGGCTTTTCTTCCCACCCCCAGCATTTTAAAAAACCCCGGGACAGCGGAGGACTTCTCCGCTGTCCGGGGCAATCTTAAAATGCTGGCGGGCGGCATTTTAAAATCGCCCGGGACAGCGGAGGACTTCTCCGCTGTCCGGGGCGATTTAAAAGCCCCTGGAAGGCAGGCAGGGGGGACAAAGATTTTCGCGCACCGCCCGCCTTCAGAAGAGGTCTTGGACCTCTTCTGAAGGCAGGCGGGGCGAAAGTCTTTGCTCCCCCTGCCTGCCTTCCCGGGAGAGCGGAGAAAGGCAGCGCGTTTCTCCGCTGTCCCGGATGGCTTTTGAAGGCAGGCAGGGGGGAGCAAGGACTTTCGCCCCCTGCCCGCCTTCAGAAGAGGTCCTTGACCTCTTCTGAAGGCGGGCGGGGGCGAAAGTCTTTGCTCCCCCCTGCCTGCCTTCCCGGGAGAGCGGAGAAAGGCAGCGCGTTTCTCCGCTGTCCCGGACGGCTTTTGAAGGCAGGCGGGGGGAGCAAAGATTTTCGCCCCCGCCCGCCTTCAGAACAGGTCCTTGACCTCTTCTGAAGGCGGGCGGGGGCGAAAGTCTTTGCTCCCCCCTGCCTGCCTTCCCGGGAGAGCGGAGAAAGGCAGCGCGTTTCTCCGCTGTCCCGGATGGCTTTTGAAGGTCCTGGACCTCTTCTGAAGGCGGGCGGGGGGCGAAAGTCTTTGCTTCCCCCCCTTCAAAAGCTGTCCTGGACAGGCTTCGCGGACCTCTCCGCAAGCAGCGGGAGCGCTCCCGCTGCTTGCGGAGAGTTGCCAGCATGCCGAAGCCTGCGCGCGCTGAGATCAGCGCGCCCAGGCTTCGCGGCCCCGCCGCCCGGCATCGGAGCTTCGTTCCGATGCCGGGCAGCGGGAGGAGGCGTCCCCACCCCGCCGCCCGGCATCGGAGCTTCGTTCCGATGCCGGGCGCGGGAGGAGGTCCGAGGACAGTGGGGAAGACGCGCTGCGCTTCCCTGCTGTCCCGGAGATTTCCCTATAGGCTTTCGTCTTGCTAAGCAAGCCCATAGGGAAATTCGTTTTGCGAAGCGCCTCCAAAACGGAAAACCCTTTCGTCTAGCGGGTTTTCCGTCTTGCGAGGCGTTCGTCTTGCGGGGGTACCACTGTACTAGGTGCTATACAGAGCATATAAGCAGCATAGTTCCTACCTTGAGGGCATATTATTATCTGTCCCGGATGTTTGACACCCCCTGCCATTTCTACAGTTCCAAACAGGCAACAAAAACAAGAGCTTCTGGTTGCCTTCCATTGCTGGTGGGTTGTGTTGGGTTTGGTGGTTTACAAGTTGTGTAGACTTGGAAATATAACAACTTTTCCTCCTTGTGTGTGTGGTTGTGCATCTCAAAGAGCTTATCCCCAGTACACTCCCCAGCATAGTAAGAGCTATTTTTTAAAGGAAATGAATTCTAAAAGTAGACTATTTCTTAAAACTACTAGAAATTAGGAATGCTTTAAATATGTAACAAAACAACTCTGTCCAGCTGTCCAGGAGAACAAGCAGATATGATAATGATATTTATATCCAGTTTTTTGTAGTGGTAAACTAGAAAACAGAGGCATATTGCCTTGCAATATGGAGGTTCCATCTTTAGCTTTCATAACTGATAGCTGCTGAGTGATCTGCACTCCTGAGTGATCTGAATTTGCCTAATACCATATTAAGGGTTTTGTTACCTGACATTTTCTTCACCATGAATCCTACAATTCAATGAGATGCCAGAAGAGATTATATGTGGTATGCTGTTGCAATGCAAAATTGAGGTTGTCTGTAAAAATTGCGGTAGTGAAGGACGCTTGTATTTAGATTATTGTCCTTTTCAGCAAATGCATATTCCACTCAGTCAGTTCCGGTTTACACCCCTCATTACTCTTGACAGATGCTGTTTTTTGTGATGCCTTCCAGAAACAAAAGGTCTCAGCCCTTGTGTCTCGTCTTACCACATCATCATTATTGTTGTCACACATTGCCAACCTCTTGACAGATCAACACTCTGCAATTGTTGTGTTTGCAAGTAAAGGCATATCAGAAAAATATGGCAACTGCAATATTCTTCTGTTCCCTTTATGCAACAGCTGCATATTATTTGCAATATTAAGGTGTTTACAAGACTGCCGTAACTGAGTTCAATGTGATAAAATTATTCAACAAGGCCTGGCTATAGCCAGGTTATGGCACCAGTAAAATGTGGTTATCAGTGTGATGTATTTGAAATGCAGTTGCACTATAGAAATCATACAATGACATGTTGACATCGGTAGTTTTATTTATAATCCTGTTCCTAACATGGAATGCCCTTTTTCTATGGTGGAACTGTAGGAAAGGAGCCATGGCACAAATACACTGAAACGTAGCTGGATTTGGACCTGGTTTACCTAAGCTTTTCAAGCTCAGGATAATTGTATCATTTACATTACTACAGGTAAGAACACACCTGTTCCAACAGTTTTACATGTTTATCTCCAAGATTCTAAAACCAACACTTATATGGTTATTGGTTTAGTTTCTCAAATATCATCAAGAAGCTTAATATTTAGCCTTCCTGGCTTATACAAAAAATGAGGAACATATGCACTGGTAAACTAAAACATATTTTACTGAATTAACTACTTTTTTAAAAAAGAATGCACTGACATACATAAAAATGACACAAAATCATGAAAATAGTTCAACAGTTTTTAAAAGAGCAAGATAGCAAGTTTAAATCACACTCTAGTCTTGAAATATAAAGGTAAAGGTAAAGGTACCCCTGCCCGTTCGGGCCAGTCTTGCCAGACTCTAGGGTTGTGCGCTCATCTCACTCTATAGGCCGGGAGCCAGCGCTGTCCGCAGACACTTCCGGGTCACGTGGCCAGCGTGACAAGCTGCATCTGGCGAGCCAGCGCAGCACACGGAACGCCATTTACCTTCCCGCTGGTAAGCGGTCCCTATTTATCTACTTGCACCCGGGGGTGCTTTCGAACTGCTAGGTTGGCAGGCGCTGGGACCGAACGACAGGAGCGCACCCCGCCGCGGGGATTCGAACCGCCAACCATGCGATCGGCAAGTCCTAGGCGCTGAGGTTTTACCCACAGCGCCACCCGCGTCCCCAGTCTTAAAATATAACAGCATATAAATTTATATGCAGTCTTAAAATATAACAGCATATAAATAATATATTGTATTATTTATATGATGTTAACCGTTCTGAGCCCGGCTCTGGCCGGGGAGGGCGCGGTACAAATATTTTTTTAATTATTATTAAAATTTCTATCATTCAAACCTATTATAGTTCTATGATATAATCCTGCTATGGTAGTCTCTAAACCAATGATGAACATTGCATGTCTTTACAAGACATTAAAAAGTATAGAGCTCTGAGTACTTAGCATACATTATTCCAGCAAGCCATACAACAAACACATAAGGCAGGTTAGTGCTACGAACCCTACAGTATGACGGGCATGGTGTCCATTGCCCATTAAGTGTATGTGCAAGCCAGGATTTGAACTTGGCTCTTCTAGCTCATAGTTCCCGCTCTAGGTTTTCCAAAAAAAACAACAACCCTGTCCAATTCAACCCTGTCCATAATTCTTTTGGAATTATGGTAATAGGTACATTTAGCAGCCCAATAACATGCTGCTGACTCTGCATTGCAGGAGAGCACAGGAACAGACATCAGGGTTGAGACTTCAGGCCACATGCTTGGGCAAGAGGCTGATGATACCGCTTCCAAGTCCGGTGCTGAAGCAGCAGCATCAACCAATACTATCATGCAAAGCTGAGCTTGGATTTGTGCTGTGTACACCCACTCCCATTTACTGTACTCTGAATCCCAGTGCACTCCCTGTCGCGAATTCTCTGCGGCGCTTTGGCAGAAATGCTCAGAGTTCCAGGTACTTCAGTGCAGTGCAGTATATTTATTGTGAGCTATATATTTACAAGTGGGACGCAGGTGGCGCTGTGGGTTAAAGCCTCAGAACCTAGGGCTTGCCGATCGAAAGGTCGGCGGTTCGAATCCCTGCGGCGGGGTGCGCTCCTGTCGTTCGGTCCCAGCGCCTGCCAACCTAGCAGTTCGAAAGCACCTTCGGGTGCAAGTAGATAAATAGGGACCGCTTACTAGCGGGAAGGTAAACGGTGTTCCGTGTGCTGTGCTGGCTTGCCAGAGCAGCGATGTCACACTGGCCACGTGACCCGGAAGTGTCTGCGGACAGCACTGGCTCCCGGCCTATAGAGTGAGATGAGCGCACAACCCTAGAGTCTGGCAAGACTGGCCCGTACGGGCAGGGGTACCTTTACCTTTACCTTTTATATATTTACAAATATATACAACAATCTACAGGCTATAACACACGAGCAGTTCATACAGTCAAACAGAGTACCTGGCTGCACCTTAAGGCAAATAGGAAGACCTTTCTCTCTCTCTCTCTCTCTCTCTCTCTCTCTCTCTCTCTGACCACACTCTTCTACACCACCCACTTACTGCTGGACAGGTTTCCCCTTTAAACCGATGACAGCCAGTCAACTGACAGCACATTACTGCTGAGTCTTTCTGACCCAGCACTTCCATAGAAATTATTGCAGGCTGATTGCATCAGCCAGTTGCATCAGCTAGCAAACTCAAGCCTGCAGACTTACTATCTCACACAGCAGTCTGTGAATCCCAACCCTCCCACCACTGGGTTGGGAAGCAGTGTACCTGTTAATCACAACCCACACCTGTCCTGTTGCTTCTATTAAATACTTCATTTTGATGTGTATGTCCCCCAACCAACTGCAATCTGAATTCGGGGAAGGGAGACACACCCAGCTGCATTTTAAGGCAGTTATGTGTACACATCCTTTTCTACCAGCTATTATTAATCATTCTTACCCATCTAAGAGCTGATCAGCTTGCTATTACTTAAAGAATAGATCCCTGGGAAAGGTGGTACTTACAGACACAAACTGGTGTTTGCCCAGACCATTTGTGGTCTTGCAAGCATATCCGAACAGATGTGCCGACAAGTCGAAAACCAGGGTTACATTGGTACACCACAGTGTCACGATAACTGAAGCCGTCTCCACTAATGTGGCCATTTACAATAGGATCTGGAGAACCACAGTGTCCAGCTAGAATAAGAGGGTGGGAGGGAACAGAAGAAAAGAACACAAACTTCACTTTCAGCTCACATAGCAGTCAATCGTCAACAAGAATAATGTTAAACAAAAACATTGCCTTAAGCCCTCAGCACCCCGCGAGGTATATCTGCAAAACTGAAAAACATTGCTATTGATTCAATTGTCCTTTATTTACAGTCCACTCTTCAACAAACATGCTCTTATGAATTTATTAAAAAGCTGAAGCTTGGCCCCTTGGTGCAGATTGCAAGGCTGTTCTGCAACTGGCCGTGACAATGGTAGATGCACTTTCTTCCAGCTTGCAAATTAATTGAAAGAAATAATGCAGGCTTCTGCATGAGAGATTCCTCATGTTGAGGCGGCTGTGAAACTGCCCTATTCCCACATCTGTGCTGCTTGGGCAAAGTAGAAATTTGGGAAGCGGGGAGCGTAGATTGGTAAACACACACAGTGAACTGTGTGCACTGTCATATGTATCCTGATATTCAGCTCTATGGAAACAAAGGTACATTTGTTGATGCTAAGCCCAGATAATCCTATATTGATTTTTGTTGTTGTTGTTCCTGCAAACGTGAAAATGAGAAGCTGAAATGCAACAGCTATTAATTGAAGTCAGATTTATTAAAACATAGGAGATCTCAGGCTGGCTGAAAGGTACTAACTTGGAACTTGCCATTATTATTTGTTTCTGAAGGAACCTTAACAGCCATGTGCATGTTCCATGTGATTCATTTCAGTTACAGAGCATGTCACTTGGTGGATGTAATGATTTCCTGTCATTTTGAACCTAGTTAAATTAAACACCCTTATAGCTGACAAACTTAAGAAGCAAGGCAATAAAACACCAAATATATGTAATCTTCCAATCAAGCCAAATTAGCCCTAAGTATATTAAAGAGGCTGTTGGAAATCTATTTCTATAAACCGTGCTTTCAGGATTTTTGGGGGAGATAAAATGATGGACTGGTTCGATATTAGTTCACTGCAATAATTAAACATTGACACCAAAGCGACATACATGGACTAACCTCCCTTTTAAAAAGTTCCGTAAACATGCACTGAGTGTTTAGGCCACACTATTCTGGAGGGGACACCAACACTCTGGAATACACACACACACACACACACACACACACACACACACACACACATTTGTGGAGAGGGGGGTATATGTGGAGGGGACTGCAGTGAGAAGGTGAAATTGGAGAAAACCATTTTCTTATATTAGTAGATACTTCTGTTAGATCAAAAGCCACAAGCACAATGGCAGTGTTGGGCATCCTATAGGCAGTGGCGTAGCGTGGGTTGTCAGCACCCGGGGCAAGGCAAGTAATTTGCACCCCCTAACCCGTGGATTTGCGCCCAACCCTAACCCCCATATGTTGCGCCCGGTGCAGCTGGCCCCCCCTGCACCCCCCACGCTACGCCACTGCCTATAGGTGTTTGAAAGGAAAGCATGAAAAGACAGTAGAATGAGCTGGTGAATAATAAACGTATTTTGGAAACTTTGCAATAGGCAATAGGGCGGAGAGCTAAAGTAAGGATACTTCCAAACTTCTCCTTATCTGAGTTTCTCACTGGCTTTTGGTGTTCCATATTACATGGTCTTGGAACAGTTGCAACAAGAAACCCTCATTGTTCCACTTTTTATTTCTAAATGTTGCAAAGACTGCTTTGCATGTGCAGTTTCTCATAGTCTTCAATTCATTCATGTCTCTTCCTCCCATTATTAATGCATTTATCCACATTGGTAAAACACTACAGAAAAGCAACTGGTGTGCAGAGTTAATTTTACATTGTGTTCTACCAAAGGGGGAAATTACATGTGTTCAGTATTAAAACACTGTATGTCAATCTAATCATTCATTTTTGTAGCTTATTACATGAGTATGCATAATAGATTAGGGGGATAAGCTAGATAAGGTGAAATAGACTGGAAACATAGCACAGTACATTATTTCAGAAATTAAAATTTTCCTGGTAGACTACTTAATTCCTTAGAAATTACCCTAGTAGACCAGACTCCAGAAGAAGTTTTTGGTTCTGTGATTTCTTTTTGTGTATGCAAGGCAGCGAGAACTCACAACACAATTAAGGAATGTAATGGGAGACAGCCAGTCATTAGTTAAGTAGGGTAGGTACAGGGCAAGTATCAATGATGTGAGCTGTAGATCAGAAACATCTGGAGGGTCAAAAGCTTTGTGTGTGAAAATACCTGTGTTTATGCAAGGCTGCCCCATAATAGTAATAGTAATAATAATAATAATAATAATAATAATAATAATAATAATAATAATAACAACAATAATATATTATTATTATTATTTATACCCCACCCATCTGGCCACTCTGTGCGGCTTCCAACAAAATATTAAAATACAATAGTCTATTAAACATTAAAAGCTTCCCTAAACAGGGCTGCCTTCAGATGTCTTCTAAAAGTCTGGTAGTTGTTTTTTTCTTTGACATCTGGTGGAAGGGCGTTCCACAGGGCAGGTGCCACTACCGAGAAGGCCCTCTGCCTGGTTCCCTGTAACTTGGCTTCTTGCAGCGAGGGAACCACCAGAAGGCCCTTGGCACTGGACCTCAGTGTCTGGGCAGAACGATGGGGGTGGAGACACTCCTTCAGGTATACTGGACTGAAGTCAGTACCAACACTTTGAATTGTGCTTGGAAATGTACTGGGAGCCAATGTAGGTCTTTCAAGACCGGTGTTATGTGGCCTCGGCGGCTGCTCCCAGTCACCAGTCTAGCTGCCACATTCTGGATTAGTTGTAGTTTCTGGGTCACCTTCAAAGGTAGCCCACACATAGAGTGCATTGCAGTAGTCCAAGCAGGAGATAACTAGAGAATGCACCACTCTGGCGAGACAGTCCACAGGCAGATAGGGTCTCAGCCTGCATACCAGATGGAACTTATAGCAGGATCTACAGTGCATACCCTTATAGAGTTTATAGTGCATAATTGCTTTAAATATTAGGACTTCTGTTCCTTTATGCATGCATGAGGTAATAAAAAAATATCCCAGAACTTCTATTAGGATACAAAATGTTATAAAAATCACTTGACAAAATTCCAATTGACAGTAACAGACTGTAGATTAATGCAAAGTCAGAACAGCATGCACAGACCCCATTGATTTCAATGGGGTACTTTGATACAGGGCAATAGTGCATAGGACTGCACAAAATGTTTTCTATTAAAATGGTTGCAAACATGTACCTGAACTCACACATATTAGCACTATTTCATAAAATAACTCTTAAGTGTATCGGCTGGGTATATACTGAGTAATGCTTGAATGTGCTCAGATTTCTCTCTCCTTAAATTACTCACCACTGAAATCTAAACAACCACTTTGTGAGCTATACATTCAAACTGAAATGAGTGACAACTGCAATTAATTTTGAGGCAGAAAATATTAATATCAAAGCAGTAGGGGCAAGAGGTCAGACTCAAAAATCTAACTCCTGAGCTGTAACATGCTTATGATAATGACAAGTTCCTGATTTGTGAAGTTAAAATTGGAAATGAGCATTTGAACTGTGTGTGTGTGTGTGTGTGTGTGTGTGTATAATTTCAGTTTTCAATATAAAGAAATTCCTCTTTGAATACTAATGGCTGCAGTTTTATTAATATGGATTTTAGAAGATGCCAACTTTAGTGATAGAAATAATTCATACCAAAAACACACACACACCACCTTTTGCTCTGTATTCTTTGTCGACAGCATTTGAAACCAAAAACAACATCAGTTCCTTGGGATTATGTTTTCTCTGAGGTTTCCTGTTACTCTGTGAAAATATCATGTGCAGTGTAATTTTCTTGTTGGAGATCCTGTGACTGCTTTGTCCCTATATTCTACCTGGCTTTAAAACAGTCTCAATAAAGAATGTTTGAGGCCAATATGGAAAGAGTTTTTGCCTTCTAGCAGCAAGCCGGAAAAGAAAAGTTTACAGTGGGTGCTATACTATAAATTGAGATCCTTTCCAAGGATTCTGCTAAGAATGGAATTCTCAGATGTTTGAGTAATAAAGAAAGAATCCATCCCCTTTAAATACCAACCTATTTATAAATATATTTCCTTCCACATGTGCTCAAGAAATCAGTGCCTCAAGCTGTAACACAAAGTTACCAATACGAACAATACCATTTACTGAAATCGTGTGAACTAAATTTACAAAACTAAACTCATATCCTTCACATGGCATTTGCCTTTTGGGGTTTTAGATTTCTGCTGCAATTTGTACTTACCGAGACACTGAGTTTCAGTGCCACTCCAAAGTCCATTCACTAGGCATTCACGTACATGAGAACCAACTAGGGTATAGCCAGTGTTGCAGGTGAATATTGCTGTGGCTCCATACACGGTCAGAGTTCCAATCTTATTACCATTTGGTGGAGATGGAAGACTGCCACAGGAAATAACTGAAAAAGGAAAATAAAGTACTTACAGTACAGCAGCAGCAAGAGGCTCTTAGAGTCATTTGGGGGCCCAGAGAATACTACTACTACTTTAATAATAATTTGTTATTTGTACCCCATCCATCTGACTGGGTTGCCCCAGAGAAACAAACCCACTCACACAACCACTCATTTCTCTTTAGCTTAGAGGCCACTTCCAATCCTCAAGACCCAAGGAGCTCCAATACTTTGCATGGGAGTAAGAAAAGCAAGTGGTTCATGCCTACTGAATGTAAGTTCTCTAAGACAATATCCAGATGTCTCAAATAGTTTGCTTGCTTTTTCCTACTTAATTCATTGATAGAGTGAGTGGGCTAGCTTTTACGCACACCCTCATAGTAAAGGTAAAGGGACCCCTGACCATTAGGTCCAGTCGTGACCGACTCTGGGGTTGTGGTGCTCATCTCACTTTATTGGCCAAGGGAGCTGGCATACAGCTTCCAGGTCATGTGGCCAGCATGACTATGCCACTTCTGGCAAACCAGAGCAGAGCACGGAAACGCCGTTTACCTTCCCGCTGGAGCGGTACCTATTTATCTACTTGCACTTTGACGTGCTTTCGAACTGCTAGGTTGGCAGGAGCTGGGACCGAGCAACGGGAGCTCACCCCGTCACGGGGATTCGAACCGCCGACCTTCTGATCGGCAAGTCCTAGGCTCTGTGGTTTAACCCACAGCGCCACCCGCGTCCCCACACCCTCATACCCCCTTCTATATCTTCCATCCAGGCAATATAGAAGCATTATCAGAGTTCAAACACATCTTCCAGCCAGACAAAAACACTCAAAGATAATGCCAAGCAGGGTCAATAAACAAGCAAGGCCTGAGGGCATGGAGAGTCTTGAGGGCCATGCAAAGAGGCTTGGAAGACTATTTGGCCCCCAGGCCTGAACTTCTTCACCCCTGCTTTACAGTAAGACCCAAGCAATTATGTACAAAGCTACTGGAAGAAAACACCTGGGCTTAGTAACACACTAAAGGAAACATAGTCAATAAACAATGAGGTAATGGAAACAATAGATGGAGTACGATTCTGTGCGTAACTGTGACTTGGAGGCAATTTAAGCAGCACGGAAGCGGTACAATGTGCATTCTCACCTCCATGCTGATATGCCAGCTTTTCTGGTACGGCAGATCAAAACCACTTTCCACGCTTTATTTGCCAACACTTTACAAGGTGCAAAAGGATTATTTAACACATGACTGAAAACTTGGAAGCATTGACTGGGTTTTTAATTTTTATTTTGAGCGGTAGATCGTTTCACCACATGTCACACTCAGTTTTTGAAATTTCCTCTGGGTTCAAAGACAACTGGCTCTGTGACATGTGGTTCTGGAGCAGCAGCCTCCCAAGTCCAAAATCCCCTGTGTGCACAGTACCAGCTGTGTGACTCTCTGGATCCCAGACTACATACGATGATAGCACTCTGTGCTTACATAACAAATAATGTAATCTGTAGTGGTTTTATTATATTATCTTTCAGAAGCATAGTAATAAATAGTTTAACAGCCTCAAATATTTAATGAATTTTAATTTCTGAAGATCAAATAGATTGCTCAGCTCATGTTTGACTGATCTGGATTACTTCGGTATTCAGATAATCCATGGTTAATTAGCTTGTTTGTCTAATTACAGTTGAATGTAATTGATGGGCACCATTCACAATTAATTTAATCTGTAATAGGAACAATGAATACATAAATTTATTTGAATAAAGGCTCTTGAGAATGGACAAATAATTCATTTAATTAAATGATGCATGTCATAAGTACAATACAAACTACTCTTGCAGATGTGTAGATCTGATCTGCATATGAAACCCTTTCTTACATCCTCAAGAGTTTCCTTGTTCATTTCAATAAAAACACCCAGTTAGGCATGTATATTTCTTAATGCATGTGAAATTGCCTCCTCTACTCAAAGTGTATGAACCCAATTGTATCTTGTATGCACTGGTGCATGTACAGGGCTCTAGAACACTGCATCTAGCAAACTGACATAGATATTTATAAATATTTGCTATAACTACACTCGAAAATAAATTAACATAACTTGTGTGTGTGTGTGTGTGTGTGTGTGTGTGTGTGTAACAGGCCATCTCCAGTGTAATCCTTCCATTCACGATACAGCAACAGCTTCCATGAGCAGATTGTAGAGGAAAGCAATTTGCACAAATTCCTCATTTCTCCTGCAGAACTTCCACACTTCCTCCCACACTGTTCTCAATGATCTCCCAACCCACTAGATCAGATGGAGGAGACACACAAGGGGGAATATGAAGCAAAAATGGCCTCCTCCATTTTCTGTCCACAGAAACCTCTGCTGGATGAAAGAACTGCCTGTCAGCAGCAGGACAACATTATATACAACCCTGTATGGTTACACTTACTGTGTTTTGGTGCAGGGCCCATTTATTTGAACGAGGTTTGCATACCTTCCTGATGGATTGCCCTCAAATATTTCAGAAAAGCTATTAACAGATATTAGTTCCTTTACTTAAGTTGTGTTGGTAGAAAAATCGAAGCTGTATCTTTGGACAGAACTGAGCACTGTGTAAATAAATGTTTCTTACCCTTGCACACTGGTCTCTCATCAGCATCACTCCATGTTCCATTAGTTTTACACAGCATGAGTCTCTGACCCTCTAAATAATAGCCAGGGCTGCAACTCAGCATGACTTGTGCGCCAAACTCATTCACCGACCCAGAAATCAGTCTCCAGACAACATGTTCTGAGAGCAGGCTCTCAATGCTGGGGCAAGTCACAGCTGTGAAGCAAGGACACTTTAGTATTAGCACTTTCCTTCCAATATTACTTCACAGAAGATGAATCACCATCCTATTGACAGCAGACTTTTCCTGGTGAAATTGAGCGTGCTATAAACATTTCTCAAATGCACATTCTGGTGCATAGCATCTCACACTTGTTTCAACACCAACACTGGGAGGCTGTTTCAATTAAGAAATGAGGGGAGAGGGAGAAATGTACTGTTCCAATTTTATAGTATGGGTACTTTCTTCAAAGTCTGATTAAGAGGCAAAGTTGTACAGTTTGCATAGAAAGAAGAATGTATTAATAACAAGTTGTAAGAGCTAAAGCCCACTGGCAATCTAAAACCTGTATTGTTTTGTTGGCACAGAATGTGTTTAGCATCGTGGCCAAAAGTGTATTATGCTCAGTGGAGACTGAATAGGGAATAGTAAACTGCTACCTAATGGGAAACACAGATGCCATTTCCAAAAGCTTCATTTATCTAACCAAGCTTTAATCTGTGTGATATTTCTTTTAAAATAGGCTTTGTGTGTTCCATTCAGATGCTTTGTATATGTACACCTATTACGATAAGACAGAGGGGGCGGGGTTACAAAATACTTAGCAATCTTATCTGAAAACACGTTCTAACACCATAGCCCACCCTGTCCTATTGGTTTAGGGCAGGTAACACCATCATCAAACAGATGCAGGGGGAAAAGCAAAGTATCACAGACCTGTCAAAGAGTATGGGGGATAGAGAGGAAAGTTAATTGGGGGGGGGGGAGAGATGCAAAATACTAAAATTAAATTCTACATAAAATTTAGAAGAGTAGAACAGAGATATAAGGGAGGAAACAGGCGCATTAGAGAGAATAGTGGGAGTAAGGGCTCTTCCATACTTCCATTTCTCCTGCCAATTTAGCACTCAATTGGAGCAAAAGGCGATCGGGTTTTCTGTCGATTCCCATTTGCTCTGATTTATCACCAAACAGCAGGTTTTCTAGTGGAAAGCAGTGGGGCAAAGGCAAAACTGCTCTGACATGTACATAGAAAGCATGGGGCAAGTAGAAAACTGATGGGATTCACTGTTTGCTAAGCATGGGGCAAACACTAATACTCTTGTGATAGGGGAGTATGCCTCAGAGATTACAGAAAGTTTTTTTTAAAAAAAAATAGTGTTGGAAAGATATTTTACATCTATAATGTGCGTCCCAGTGGAAAATTCCAACCCTAGTTTGGTATAGCCAAAGACAACAGTCAACGACTTATTTACCTAGGAATATCAAATGGTCCTTGTTCCACTGAATTATTCTGCCTACTTTCAACAAAGTGTAACCAATGACAAGTAAATCCTCCATTTCCAATTCAAACAGGAAAAAGGACTAGGACAGTAAAATGTGAGTTCAGACCAGCCCAACTCCACATTAATGTAGTGGTGTTTACACAATATCTTCGCCATCCCAATGTCATTCTGGAAGCTAATGGATATTATGGTTCAGTTCAGGAGAGAGATTGGATGACACTATATAAGGAGGATGGTTCCTGACATTTCATCTTTTTATGGGATCTGGATAATTCATTCAAGGCTCTGCATTTTCAGAGGCTTTAGGGTGAATAGGTGAGATAGATAAGCAATCATTTGGGTGGGCTGATAGGGTGTCAGGGAGCAAGGCAGACCAATTCCTCTCTTCTGAGACCTTCTCCATTCTCCAGTTGGTGTTGAAGGAATTTTCTGGCAGCTGGAAGTCTGTGACTTTTTAGATCTACCTATCCATCTCACCAAGCCTTTCCTTTTAGGAGCTCAGGACGCTGTGCGCGGTTCTTCTCCCTTTATTACCCTCAAAACAAGTGTGCTGAACTGAGAAATAACAAGTGGCTCAAGATCACCAATGTGACCTTGTGCCTCTTTGTCTATCTGTTTCTCTTTCTATATACATATCTCTGCACACTGGAAAAATAAAATCTGCAGAGAATATGGTAATGGCATAGCATTTATTTTTTTTTAAAAAAAAGAATATGCAAAGCCGTTAAATATATAAGTGACAGAAAACTGTTTGTGCCACGGTGCCGTTTAATTTTGCAGCAAATTCCTCTGATTTATCAGAACTGCTTTATTCTTGAATGGAAATACGGCCTACTTAACAGCTGCTGTATTTAGAACAAATTACTGAGACACCCATCAGTCTCTCTCTTATACCTCAGACACCAGTGACACTTGCTATTTTTATACATGGCATCTGAATCAGAGATGATGTCAGATTTGTCTAGATGTAGAGGGAAAATGTTGTCCTCTTTTCTATGCTGATTTGTTTCTGTTGATATATGTATTAACTGCTGCCTGCTTCCAAGTATAGTGAAGTAAATGTAATTACATCCTTCAAGTATGATTATATGTCACATCACTAGAATGAGATTATTTACCTACACCAGCACTCATGTGCACTGCCAAAACAGAGGATTATTTCTGAGGTAAAAAGTATTTCAAAGTACAAATGTATGTCACTCCAGAATAGGTGGAGAACTATCAGATTCACCTTGTAGCCAGTGCTGGAGATACAGAACAGAAAAGGCCCATCAATTTAAATTTTAAGTAGACTTAACTACCTCTAACCTATATTCTAGACTGCAGCCTTCAAAGAGTAAAATAATGGTTTAAACCTCACCCAAAGGGCTGACTGGATTGTGAAATGAACTTCTAATTAACCTAGGTACTAGTGATAGGTAACTTTACCCTCTCCCCTCCATGTTAAATCATAGTGGCTCAGAAAATAATACACTGTTTCCTTTAAAAAAGGGGGGAAAATAAATAGCTGATTTTATTACTCAGACTGATCTGGCACCGAGTCCTTTATTCATTGGCACTACCAATGTCCCAGAGGGAGAAGAGAGCGAACTATCAGGTCTCTCTCCTTCCCTCCCTATGGTCCAAGCCAGTAAGTGTTGTTAAGAGGAAATGGGATTTCGAGCATCAAGCCAGGCTGATGGTAGGGTGAAAAGATGAGTAAACTTGGGAATTCTTCTGCAGATAAGAATGCAATCTGAGATGGAGAAAAAATATATATCAGGGGCTCATAGTGATGTTCTATGAGGTTAGTGTAACAAACCCCCAAGGATTTGTTGGTATATCTAGTAATTATGAATTTTTCTGAGCCCAGCTCATTCCTCCACTAGATGTCTACTAATTTCGAGGGTTGCAACTGACAAGAGAACAAATTCTACACATATTACCATTTACCACTTACTACTTAAGTAAAGGTGCAGCAAAGATTAAAGATGCACCAGAAGTATTATATGAAAGTGGGCATATTGGGTTTGGATGTCCTTTTTTACGACATGGAGGTATAAAAGCTAACTGGTGGTAAATAGTACAGGTTTATCAAAATATGTTCCTCTTCCTGCCAAAGCTCTCAGCAGTTTTGGCCAAGACAAAATCTTGAAATTCACCTTGGATATCACCTTGGGAGGAATTCACTATAAACTTAAGGGGTCTGTGAAACTCCATTCTTCTCTTCCCATGAGAAGCTTTGAGAGTCTTATCAAAAGTCTCTTAGCATTTCTTGATCATTTCTCAGCTTTTTTCCTAAGCAGAAATCTTCAAATTTGCCTTCAAATTTTTGTTATCCAATATTTTGTGGTAACTCTAGTATCTGGATAATAGAAGTATTAAACATCACAAAATAGGTTTCATTTATGATTTAAAAATAAGCTGCCCTGGCTTCTCTTTCCTGGTTATAATGACCAGTCCAGCAGCAGCAACATTATTTATTAAATGCATAAACCAGCTTTCCCTGAATTTTGAAGGGTGGTTTAGAAAAATAAACCAAAATAATACATTAATTAGAAACAATCTAAATAGGATCAAGCAAAGGTAAGTTCCAGTTTTCCTTCATTATGTGGTTTGGTCAAAGTCTTTTTAGCACACCCATCACACAGATTTTCCTGCTGCAATGAAATTTTTGAAAAGTAGGCTTTGGTGCTCTTAAGAGGTGAAAATGTAAGGTTTGATTGCTGCACGAAGAGGGTGAAGAGTGATCCCAAATGCAACAACACATTTTGATATGCAGAAAGGTGGTGCCAGTATAATAAACTGAATTATGAGCTGAAATAAATTGTGCATAGTTATCTCCCAAATGATAATGGCATGTCAGAAAGTTCATGTTTATCAAACACAGAAAGGAAAATGTCACAACACAGTTATGAAAAGAGCTTAGAAAGTGAAGAAAATATTTTCTAGAAAGGAAAAGAAAAGAATAAAGCTGTTTTAATAATGTAAGCTCCCAATGCAAACCAATTCATTCAAATGCACTGAGCAGACATAACTATGTTTAAACTATAGAAAAATCCCTTAAAACCTCTGTAGAAGAAGTAGAATTAATCAAATATATAATAAATATAGATAATTATTCTGGTTTCAAATTATGGTCATAGAAGGGAAATAGGCAGATTTTTAAAGGTGTCTCCTCCTTTTCCCTCTCTGCAGCCAATAAGCAATCTGAAAATATCAACCATGTTTCTTATAGATAAAGAAAACTGGCAATTGGGCATGTCATTAAGTTCTTGAGGGACTGGTCAGTAGTTACTGTGCAATGACAATGAACAATTATTAAGAAAAAGAAATACTTCTTTCTTACAATCTCTGCTTTTCCAATTGTCTTAGGACAAGTGTGACTCAAAGAGACATAGATCAAGAGGAAGATAAGGTCCAATAGAAGTATTTGATGTGAAAGTTTGAGAAAGACGCCTGGGCCCCAAACCATGTTGTAATGTGTACATTTCATAGAATCATAACTGAAGAATTGGAAGCGACCACAATCTTTCTGTTGTTACTGCTAGTGTTGCATGGATGCATAGCTGTGCAGACGTAGAAGACAGCATTATTCTAGGTACAGTGTCTGAAACTTCCTTTAGAGCTCAGATCTATCACGCTGTTTGCATGAGGCTTAGGGCTTCCCACAACAATTTGTTGGGTCTGCCACTCACTGCTGACAGGAATGACATGATTAAACACCACTGCTAAAATTTCCAATTCCAAGATCAACTCTTAGCTCAGCCTTTCTCAACCTTGGGTCCTCAGATGTTTTTGGCCTACAACTCCCATCATCCCTGACCACTGGTCCTGTGAGCTAGGGATCATGGGAGTTGTAGGCCAAAAACATCTAGGGACCCAAGGTTGAGAACTACTGTTAGCTCAAAGATCTTCGCGTGGTTGCTAGTTCCTTCATTCATCTCCATTAGTCATATCTGTATCATCTGCATATGAAACAGCCAGCTACAGCTAGAAGAACTAAAGAACACTTGTTCCACTGAATTTCCGTATTTTTCTGTGTATAACACACCATCATGTATAAGACTATTTTGGGGGACTCCAAATTAAGGATATGGGGGGAGATTGCCCATAGTTGTTGAGCTTTACTTTGGGGGGTGGCCCAGAGTTGATGAGCTTTTTATACAGGGGATTGCCGAAAATCGCTCACCCGCCTGACCTACGCTGCCACTCACATGCATCACCTATCGTCTGTCCCCTCGCTGGAAGAAGCCGCCAATTGCCCGACCAATTGCCGCAGCGACAGCCAATCAACACTAGACCATGTTGTAGCCACCAATAACTTGCCCAATAGCAGCAGACAATCTCCGGCTTGCAGCAGCAACCAATCACACATCCCCCCTATGCACTATCCGTGTATAAGATGACCCCAAATTTTTAACATAATTATTAAATAAAAAAAACCTTATCTATGGAAAAGAACGGTATTTTGCCTACTTTCAACAAAGTGTAACCAATGACAAGTAAATCCTCCATTTCCACTTCAAACAGGAAAAAGGACTAGGACAGTAAAATGCAGGTTCAGACCAGCCCAACTCCACATTAATGCAGTGGTGGTTACACAATCTTTTCCCCATCCCAATGTCATTCTGGAAGCTAATGGATGTTATGGCTCAGTTAACTGAGATGAAGACTGATGGGTGGTGTGCTAAACGTTGCTCTGGAGTTGTCCAGAGCTTTCTAAACTCAGATTCAACTCAGATTTGCCATCTCATTGGGGTGGGGGGAGGAATTCTATTGTACTTAACTGTTACTGGGAAGAAGTAAAATATAGTTTCTAAACGGGTACATATTTTTCCTGAATTCTATACTTACGTTTACAGACGGGTGGCCTTCCTTTATTGCTCCACAATCCATCTTCTTGACACACTGCTGTTGCTTGTTGACTAGAATCTAGCTTGAAGCCCTCATTACATTCATATATCACTCTGCTGCCCAAAATAAACTCATTACCCCAGACTGAGCCATTTCCGGGAGATTCCGGAATACCACAAGATACAGCTGAAAAGAGGAAGAAAAGTGGAAAAGCTATTTGCCTCAGGAAGCAATCATTACTGTTGTCAAATCTGAAACTGTACAGGAAATTAATAATAATAATAATAATAATAATAATAATAATAATACATAACACATTTATCTTATTACTGTTACTAAGAGACTCACTTTATAATAATTGTGCCGAGGCCTAATAACAAAAGAAACAATAATAAAACATTTCCCCCACAAAGGCAGCATTGTCACATATAATAGTATGGATACCAATATAAAACATGAGTACTTCTTATATTTGAATAATGGATCTCAGTAGAGATACTCTTTGCTCAAATGCTGATCTGGGCTGCTTATGAGTATAACTTTTTTCAGCTTGAGGTGGAAACCAACCATTTCATTTGTTATAGTTTTGCTATGTTTTCCATTTCCATTATAATGAAAATATATTCATCAAGAGCGTGGAGGGAGTCACTTAATCGTCTAAACTGTGTTTATGTACATAAGTGGAAATTTATCAACACGTTAAACATATAGGTACAAATATGAATTCAAGGCAGCATAAATTATTTCCTGAATGGGTTTATTTGTGCTACTGTAACATTTAATTATTTTCTTGAATGAAAGTTTGCAGCTTATGTAATAGGATTTCAGTAATGCAATTGGAGCAAACCTCCCTATTCTGCATCTGCCAGATCATGTTCAGATTAGAATGTGGAAATGCAGATTAGATTGCATGTCCACGAACCTTTCCCAGACAGGAGTCGTTCCAACCTACATTTGTGCAACATGATCAAAGGACTTATTGATTCTTTGTTTCTTTTTATGTGGCGCTTATCATACTCATCGAAACCTTTGGCTTACAGTCTTCTGTAAGTGGCCGTGTGTTACAATGTGCTACTGTTGGGATTCGCAGGATACTGGATAAGTCTGCAGGCTTCAACAGGATGATGCAATACTCTGCTGGGTCAGAGTGACTCAGCAGGAGTGTGATTAGTGTAATTGGCTATCACCTGTTTTAAAAAGGAAAGCCTGTTTAACAGGGTGTGTGGTGGTTGTGCTGTAGTGTGGTGGTGCTGTCGTGGAGAGTATTCGTTTGTAAGTACTCTGTATGGACTGTTTCTTTTGTAAATACCTGTATAAAGCTCACATTAAAAAGGACTGCACTGAAAAACCTGGAACTCTTAATGCTTTGCTGAAAACGCCGCGTGGAATACGCGACAGGGTTATGGGCCCAGCACGCTTCCGCTGCGCAAGAGTATAGGTGGCAGTTATCTAGCCGTGGGTGCTGGAGGTGAGCTGCAGGGATGGAGCAGTCCAGAACTGGCGTGTTGCTGGAGAAGCTGACGGCCACGAACTACAGCATCCTGGTCGGTCCGCATGCAACACTTCCTCAAGCGTGAGGGCCTGTGGAAGGTGGTGGAAACTCCACCGCAGCCCCTGAGGAGGATGAGGACGACGATGAAAAGCTGGCACTAGCAGAGGCCCAGCTTGAAAAGGATGAGAAAGCTTTGGCCTAAGCAAAAATATGTAGGACTGCGAAGGCTGAGCTGCTAAATTTAAAAGTGTCTCTTGATTGTCAACACTAGACAGAATCTCTCCTCTCTCTCACCCTCTCCCCTCCTCCTCTATATTATATATATATATGGGCAAAGCATTCAATATAACAGAGGCTCTCATTTTCTGTTTACCCTGCCGCCGCCCCCACAAATCCCCTCTTTTCAATGTTATTTTGGAAGCGATTGCATTAGAAGACGACATTCGAAGAATTCAGGCAACCCAGCACAAAAATGTAAATTAAAAAACACACTCGTGGGAAACAATCATGTGATTATTTCACATGAATCTAATTGTACCTTAGGAGGCACCTTAAAACACTGATGACAATTTAGAGATTTATTTATTTATTTTAAAGAGTGGCATCCTCGATATTAATCGTTCCTTTCTCAGCTACCGTTTTGTTTGCGATGAGGGCAGGCATCAAAAAGGCTCCTGACCAAATTCATCCAGAATATAAAGGAGATGCGATCTTAGAGATAGTTCCCTAGCACTTAAGGAGGTGTGAAATGACAGCCTAAATTCACATGAGCGATCATGTCAGATTAATCTGGAGGAGAAATCTATGCATTGGAATATAGGAGGCAGAGAGGCTTATAAAACACAAGCACGAAAGCAAGGAAAAACATCTCTTTCTTTTTTACGCATAACTCTAAACAACATGGGTTTTTGTTTTTCCAAGGGCTTACATACATTATGGCTTAATTCATCCATTTAAATGGGGATGAGCATGTGAAGTCAGT